CCTTCCAACCATCGCAGTGATTATAGTGTGGCCTGCACTCTCGCAAACGAAGTCTTGGCACGCATAAAGCTCAATTTGCAAAAACTCCTTGCCAATATTCGAAATTTCACGCCTGTCGAGACTATATCCATCCTTCGCATCATCTTCTGAACTTGTTCTGAATCCTCACACGTCTATCCCAAAGAAGAGTCTCCCAGGTTTATGCGTCACGCTTTGTTTCCACCGTCGGGTATAAATATCGGCGAGGGCGTGTATTTGGTGGTCAACTGAGGCCAGAGAAGATCAAAGAGTGGTGTGGTCATTGGAATGAGGATGTACTTGGTCATACTTGAAGACTTGATGAGACTTAGGTAGGAGTCGAACTCGTTGGGAGCGAAAAAACAACGTGGAGGAGTATTTTAAAACATTGCCTCGTGGGCCAACCTGTTCGATATTGCGAAATTTGACTGAACTTGGCTCCGGGAGAATATTTCACTCCCAGGTTCGTAGAAGACACCACGTACAGGTGTTCAGTCTTGCCCTCCGACTAACTAGCATTGTCCCGATTCAACCGCCGCCCAGTATCTTTACGCCGAGACAAGACAGTGGCCACAAGCCTTTTCTGAAAATTTGCATTTTTTGCATTATTTTATTCGTAAAACTAATGTCGTATAATCACGAGGTATGAAAATAGTAGAGAGGCAGCCTTGGGAATGTAAGATAGATTGGCTATGGAAGGGGAAATAGGAGTAACTACAGCGAGCTCTATATACATGAGGTGTGGGTGGCCGGCAAAGACGAATCCTTCACCTTCCAGTGGTGCCGGTGTAATCGCTCAGTATGCTCTGCATATCTGGGATAGCCAAGAAGAATCGCATCCGAATCGAAGTCGAAAGCAACCTCAAACACATCTCCATTTGACAACTTCTCGACAATGCCTCTCTCATCATTATCATCTGAGTCCTCAACCCATCTCTAACCACGCATTATCTCGCCTTAACGACCAACAAAGAAGTTGCTCCAATTGCATACAGGAGTTTGCCCCATTAGTCTCCAGCCATCTCTCACTACAAATTTACAGCGCTATTTATACCCGCAAGGAGGAAATCAAGTCGAAAAATACAAAGTTGGGGTCTTGGTTTATGGGGGACTGATTGTTAAGGGCGAGGAGAATTACGGACACCGCACGTAAACAGTACCACAAAGAGTTAATATTTTTCTATAGAGATTTACTACAGGAAATCCTTTGAACTAAATATGCCAGCTACAGCCACCAGTGATCCAGTATCCCGACACGTATTCTTTTGATACTGAGTGATCTGTTATCCAGCCTCAGCATAATTAACCGAGTGATTCGAGTCTCGAGAGACTGTCTTATAGATCACTTGGTTAGTGTCTTTGAACAAGGCTGGGCCTGAAAGATAGCCCAACCTAACCGAACTGGGCACAGCCCGTAACACTGATGCTCTAATGGGGTTATGCATCTTGAGGAAGGACAGGCGGCTGAGATGTGGAGCGAGAGGGGAAATGAGTCTCCGAAATACCTTTCTGGGACTGACATTTTCGAAGGGTTTTCAACTTTAGATTTTTTGTGGGCACCAAGACCGAGATTTCGGCTAATTTGCCAGGAGGGCTTCTTTTGTCGATGAGTCAACGGCACTCCCCAGCGCACTAAACGGTACAAAAGAAGTGGGGCTAAGCTACTATACAGCAATCACGCTCTGTCAAGACTTTTCTGACATTTCAGCACGACCTTCGGGATGGAGTTGGAAGGAGACTAGAAAGGCAGAGTATGAATTCTCCGAGGAACCCACAAGTCTGCAGCGCCCAGCTGGCCGGCCTCTTTGAACGCTTCAGAAGGGGCAATATGTCTTCGGATTTATTCCTAATGTCGGTATTAGAAGAGCCCCGCACCCAGTGGTTTTTGCGAATTTTCCCGGCTGCCATACATCCGCAAATGGCCATCGTTTCGTTGGCTGGAGAGGGGAGATAATGAAGGGCAAAGGGCTCCTCTTAGTGTATGATGGAATGAGAACTTGTGAGGGGTGGTACTGTTTGAGGGGAGCTGTATGGGAGGCATAGGAGGGGATATACTACTGGTATAGGTATCCTTGGCCTGCAGGCAGAGAGGACCTGCATGTCCTACATAGTCATAGACTCAGACAGGACAATAAAATGAATTAATAATAATGAGGTGTGGTGTAATGGGTGCTCTATATATCATGTGATATATCACGTCATAAACTGAATTTATAAGTAGTTGACAACACTTGATGTAATATTCATGCTTCTTGCACATCATGTGGGTCTTTGCTGAGTAATGCAAAGACTAGATTGGTGTTAATGTCACGTGTAGGTATTTCATGTTCAAGCACCTACACTGCCTTTCTCATTGCATGTTTGGAGCCCTGAGGGCGTAATTCGTATCATCAAAAACACAATATTATGTGATAAGATTACGAGTATCGAAGGGACTAGAGTTGGTCCAAGATATATAAAAAAGTGGTGAAAGATATGACTCCTTGTGGAATATTGACCTTCTCCTCGAATCGATCACTCGTGTAGTCTGTAAAGCTATTTTATAGTTCTTTCAATATTAATTTCATAGATTGATAGAGCGATGATAGAATAACCGTTAGCGATGTTCTTCACATCCAGAATTCGCTTTAAAACCACAAGAAATCCTGTCTCTTGGCAGACAATAGTAATAACTTTACTGTTACTGTTATATTTTTCTGCATCAGATTTTAATTGCGAATGCAGCTATCTAGCTATGACACAATATCAGTTATAAAGTAGAGAATAGACGACTTAATTTAAACATCACTGTTACATAAATTATTTGGAAAATCCACTATTTCCTCTTCTCATCCCCATTAAGTCATATCTCGTGTCTAAGTTCTTGGACTTTGTTGTTCCTAAAATCTTTCTCTAACGCTTATCATTTAGCTCAAGAAATTTGACAATTGGTATCGGTTTAAACTCTGACAAGGTAGCTGGATGAAGTGTGATGGTTAACATGTTTGCTACCTACTGTATGTATGTGTTTATTGTCCTATGAAGTCAATGAATGTGTAAGGACATGTAGGTCATTTCTGCCTACATTCCGAGATTATCTATGCCTCGAGTAGTGTACCCCCTCCTATGCCTCCTTCACGACTTCTTTCCAGCAGTAAACTCCCACAGGTCTCTATTTGAGTACACACTAAGATGAGCCATTATCCCTTCATTATCTCCCCTCTCCAGCCAACTTAATGATGGCCATTTGCGGGTGTGTAGCTGCAGGGAAAAGTCTCAAAAACCACTGGGTGCGGATCTCTCCTATGACGAAGAGGTCGTCCAGCTGGACGCAGTAGACCTATGTACACCTGAGAGCGTCTCTCAACCTTCCTAGCCTCCTCCTTCGTCTTTCCCTGATTTATGCCGCGGGACAAACCGAGGGACAAACCGAAGGTCGAGAAAGGATGTCAGAAAAGTATTGTTTGATAGTAACTGCCGTGAAGGAGTCGAGCCTAGCATCCAAGAGTCATTACGGACGTGGGGCCGTCGAGTCACTCATGTATTTCAGATGCCCTCCTGGCTAGTAGATTCGGAAGTTAAGATTAGTAGGGACAATATTGTGGAAGAGTCGAAAACTGCTTTCCTTGAGGGCGGAAGTGTCTTTTACATTGCTTTCGTGGGCTTTTTGTTAGCCCGCTGGTGGGTAGCACATGTTATGATATAACGAGGGCTTCCCTGACTACCGTTGTGACGTTTGGTACCGCATTATCTATCCTCAATCCAAGCATCATTACCGTCGTCTTGGTAGTCTTATATGTTATCGGAAGCGTATCTTTGGCGGAAGTGGAGATAACTCAGCTCAAAGTTGACCAGGTGTTACTCAATCTCGGCTCTGCAGAACCTACAGTGAGATCTGGAGGTTCATAGGGGACACTACTGACAGGCACTGAGAATAATCCCCCATTACTACCTGCTAAATTTCTCTGGATGAGCACTAATTTTTGTTATGTTTGCAATTATTAGTTACCACTTCAATATTCGGCTAGATGGACGGTTCACAAGGGTGAGCGAGATGGTAATTTTCTTTCATTATATTGAGGGGTAAATTTGTGCGGTCTCGAGATGGGCATGAAAAAAATCAGACGTGCGGGTCCAATTATGGAATTAGTTAAAAAGGTACTAAAGCACGAAAAGTTCGATAGTTATACTTTGCAGAGTGTTGTAGAGTAAAAGTTGGGATGATGAAGTGTAATTTGTTTTGTCATTTTCTAGATATTTTTTGGAAGTACTTGGGACTCTACCCTGGTCAAGCTAGAAAACCGTTTGAGCGCTTCGTCTAACCCGACAAATTAATTGCGAAACTCTACAACGATAGAGTTTTACGCCAAGGAAACAATAGAACTTGGGCAAAACTGTAATTTTGACATCTGGGGATAAAGCCTACACAACTAGCGAGCTTGTGATTGATTCTCGCTCTTCGAATGATTCGGCCGTATCCGATATCCTCCCTGTTACTGTAGTTCATGATTTATACTTTAGACATTGTAGAATTTGATACTATCCCTGCATCTCATTGGGCGGGGAAACATGATCTAGCAATCGTGTTAGAATTATCTGTTATCCTGCGTTGTAGTAGTGACATAATAGTCGTCTAGATGGGGAACCAAAATCTCTTGCAAAATTTGTTAGGTGCCTGATGCACGTGCTCAAAGAAAATGTGTCGACATTGAGACCGTAACATAGTCCGTGCACAGTCTGAAGATTTGTAGAAGGTGCGTTGGAATTCATCGGTCTGCAATAAACAGATAAGCAGTAGTCACAACCACTTCACTTGAAGCACATCTCATCTATCTGCCTGGAGCAAGTAGTTGAACAACTGATAAGAAATTTGCCCTCCGAACTAAGCACTATTTCTGATTATTCTACAACATAAAGGGCCCACATCATCCGGTCAAGTTTTCGGCTTTGTAGCAGCAGGTACCGAGATTATCAACGCTTTACCATCTCTAGATTCCAAAATCATGGCTGAGACAGCAGCAAAAGATATTAAAATTGATCCAACTGTCCAAGTTGATTTATCAACAATCCCTATTTCCCCAGACGGCGGAAACGGCGATGAAAGCAAGAATAAGGATGGAGAAAATGTAAAATCTCTAGACGAACAAATTACAGTATTTCACGACCCGGATAATTTCAATGTAAAACATCCTTTGATGCACAAATGGACTTTATGGTTTACAAAGCCGTCTATAGGGAAAGTGAGTTGCAACTCTCCATCTAAGATACCAAGTACTGATATTTGATTCGAAGGCCGAAAATTGGAATGATTTACTCAAGCAAGTCATTACATTTGGCTCTGTAGAAGAATTCTGGGGCATATATGTAGGTCTTATGGCTTTTTCGAAATCCTAAAACTAAATTAATGTCTCCAGAATAATATAGCACCCGTTTCTGAGCTTGCACTTAAGTCTGATTACCATCTTTTCAAAGATGGAGTCCGGCCTGAGTGGGAAGATCCCCAAAATAAACATGGCGGAAAATGGTCGTATCAGTTCAAAGAAAAGCGTTCAATCCCTATCGATAATCTTTGGCTTCACGTCATGCTATCAGCAATCGGTGAAACTCTAGAAGGTGAAAATGACGGTGAAGTTATGGGAGTAGTGGTGAACGTCAGAAAGGGCTTCTATCGTATAGGAGTATGGACCCGGACGGTTGGCAAAAGCATTGCTGGTGGAGGCGATGGTGACGTTGCTGGTGGGAAGGGACGCTCAGCTGAAAAGGGCAGAGAAGTTTTAATGAGAATCGGCCAAACGTTTAAGGCGATTCTGAACTTACCGCCTTCCGAAACTGTTGACTTTTCTGGTCATACTGAGAGTGCGCAAAGTGGAAGTACACGAGCTAAAGCTAGGATATCGGTGTAAATTAAATTTAGATTCTTTTCTTATCTATCACCTGGCTTATAATTGTGTTACAAAAAGTCGAAGCAGTATGGTATCTCGTCTTGAGAAAGAAATATGTTTCTATGGCTAAGCGCAATGGTAGATGAATGGGTACACTACAAATGTGATTGGCAAGTCAAGAGTCCTGATACTAGGAGATTTGGCACCTCTGCTTCGTCACAGGAAGAAAATATCTCCTATACTTTGATCTGATTGTCCTGGATTCTCCACGAACACTGTTTTATGTATGACTCGATCAATCCAAGTCTTTTTGTTCGAGTTATCTATGGCGGGGGGATTTTTATTATCAGCCATCTACTTAGTACATGGATCTACATCAGTTCAAGTTCAGTCTCGACTACACTCGTCGCCACTAATACTGTCTTCGAAGAAAATTTTGACAAGCTCTTTCTTGTTAACTTTGCCGTGTTAGCCTATAGAAGTTAGTGCGGGAGTGTTTAAAATTTGACTTACTTTTTCCCATTTCATTTCGCGGGATATGTTCGACGACACGCAAAATTTGAGGAATTTGATAATTAGCGAGTCGGTCACGCAAAAAACGTCGCATATCCATGGGAGAAAAAGTAGGCATGTTGCCTTCAGCGTCGGGTCTCAGAATGACAACTGCGCCTACCTTCTGGCCCCATGCACCCGATGGCACGGCGAGCACAGCAGCTTCACTTACTTGAGGGAGGGAAAGTAGCTCACGCTCAACCTCAAGGGCGCTGATTTTTTCGCCACCGGACTTTATGATATCCGCGCTCTTGCGGCCACGGATGAAATACAAGGGTCCTCTGGCCCAGGTCTGGTCAGAGTGACCGGCCGATTCTACGCAGCGACGGACGGCAATATCACCCGTCTTGAACCAGCGAGCACAGCCATCGTCGGCCTCGACGTGCTCGTTCTTAGTAGCCTCGCTGTTGCGAAAGTATTCCCGGAAGAGTGTAGGCCCACGTAATTGAATTTCGCCATCGCGTTCTCGGCCGTCAGCGTCTTGTTCAGCGCCGTGCTCGATTACTTCACCTGTCTCCGTATCAACAAGGCGCACCTCGACGCCAGGCAAAGGCCACCCCACGCTCCCATCGACTCGGTCCGCCAGATCTAAGCCACACGAGAGAGCCATACCGACCTCTGTCATACCGTAGCGCTCCAGAAGAATATTTCCACCGCTTAGGTCTGACCAGGCTTTCTTTGTTGGCGTCGGCAACGCGGCAGATCCCGAAAGATTGAGCCGGAGGCTCGCCGGTGAGATTCCACGCTGAGCAGCGGGTTGAAGGTCCAATGGAAGTTGAGCATACGATGTAAGGAGACGGTTATAAATAGTTGGAACGGCAGTAAAAAATGAGATTTTCTCGCGGTATGGTGGGTCTGGGAGATAAGGAGCTGCAAATCGTTCCCATACTGCAGTGGCATTGAAGGGAAACATAAATTCTATGGTTGCTCCAGCAAAGAGTGGAGTCAATAGGGCATTGACCATGCCATGAATGTGGTGCATAGGCAGCACATGCAGAATATGATCTTTGGCGCTGTATCGCCAGGCCGTGAGAAGCGATCTTGCTTGAGCCGTGATGGCCGATTGAGGAAGGAAAACACCTTTCTGCGGATTGAAGATCAGTAGCTGGCTAGCTTGCCATAATCTGGGAGGCGTGGCCTTTCATACCGGACGATTGGTGGTTCCTGATGTGTAGAGCATGAGACCTCCTTTGCCGTCCGCCGCATCCTCGAGTTTGACTGTTTCTATTGACTGGCTTTCTATCCTCTGCTCCAAATGTATTAAATGTGGAGCCTGACCAGCTTCACACTTTGCCACTATTGCTTGAGCTTTACTCAGGAATTTTGATGAGGCCAAAAGGACCACCGGCTGACTCTGATCGACGAGATACTGTAGACTTTGTACGGGGAAGGCGGGGGGTAGCGGCACGGCAATAGCATGGGAACTGAAAATTGATAGAACGGTTACTAGATATAGATCAGCTGACCTAACCTCCTCTAAATCGACTTTATCTCTTGCACACCGACATAGTCATAACTGTTTTCTAACAAAAAGGCAATACGTTTTCCGGAATTAGCTTCGGCGCCAATCCACGGGAGCAGTCGCGCTCTTTCCCTGGCAACATCTCTCGTCAGCTCTGCGTAGGTAAAGCGACGGCCAGACTGGGAATGGATGACGGCTGTCGAGTCCGGATCATGGCGAACGATGGACTCGAAGATGGGTAGGCGAGGCAGGGTTCCCATTGTTCTAGCTACGGCTGGCACAAATGTAGTGGCGTTATGGACGGGCCTTTGCAAGAGCAGATGGACTGCAAAGTTACGTACCCGTCGAGACCAGTGGAGCGGTGAAGGGCAGGCCTGGCGGAACATGTTTGCGCACGGAGGGCTTGAAGAAGCGAAGCCGATAGCCCTCGTGTTGGGTCGCCTGACGCACGTCCAGTCTTTGACAATTTTGTTTTCAAGCCGCTCACAGTCCCTAGTGTGTAATAATGCGTGCGTAGCACATGAGGGTATGCCGGTTTTGAACCGGCGATCTCCCATCTCAACCTGGATATGCATCAAAGCTACAAAGGATCTCGGGTCGGATGGTGCAGTGGTACACCATTCGGGCTATTCTTCCAAGTAGAATCTGGGTAGCTTGAACACCTACCCGATTTGAGACAGGAGAAAGCTGGTTCGAATCCAGTAGAACTCACAAACCACACACTCTCTCGCGATGATACTGTACTTGTGGGATGATGAAAGCACACTAGGATAGTTATAGGGTTTTCACGCTTTTCCCTGTGGTGGGTGTGCACGGAAGAGGTTATGCGCCGTAAGGGTTGACCTCGAGTGGTATCTGCAAATGAAATTTGAGTGTGAGTGTTCTAAACGTCAAATTAAGTCTTCCTACTTAAAGTACAAAACTTCAGACTGAACCAGCATGGGTGAGGATCCGAGATTGACAGACCTCTAGATTAGTACGAGGCTCTCATAAATTGTTATGCTTATGTAATGTTGTTCACGTTGGAGTCCGGGCGCAAGACAAGGAATACTGTACTTATATAGACGATACCTTGTGTTAATAGAAAATCAAGTTACATTTAGTCTTAAGCTCTACTATACACATTGGTCGATTGGAGCCACGAGACACCCGTAACCTACGCCATCTTAAAGCTAAGCTCATCTCACTTTTCACCCATACTAATCCATCAGGAACCTCATGGGTCTCAGGGCGCCAAATCAGGACAATTGAATAATTTATTTATCAAATGAAACCTACCAATGCGATCGGTCTAGATGATTTACCACTGCACCATCCAGCCATGGCTGTGTTTATAGTGTCGCTTGCATTCTAGTAACCGAAGTCTTGGCACGCATAAAGCTTAAGATGTCAGACTCCTTACTAAGGTTACAAGTTCCCACACCCGTCAAGGCTGTATTCATCCTCTGCATCATCTTATCAACTTATCCTGATACCTTTCACGTCCATCCCAAAGAACAGTCTCCCAGATATGTGCGTCACGCTTTGTATCCTCCGTCGGGTGTAAATATCGGCGTGGGCGTGTATTTAGGGGTCAACTGAGGCCAGAGAAGATCAAAGAGTGGTGTGGTCATTGGAATGAGGATGTACTTGGTCATACTTGAAGACTTGATGAGACTTAGGTAGGAGTCGAACTCTTTGGGAGCGAAAAAACAACGTGGAGGAGTATTTTGAAACATTGCCTCGTGGGCCAACCTGTTCGATATTGCGAAATTTGACTGAACTTGGCTCTGGGAGAATATTTCACTCCCAGGTTCGTAGAAGACACCGCGTACAGGTGTTCAGTCTTGCCCTCCGGCATGAATGGTTGTCTTGATACAATACTGTATACACGCGCAAACGAAAAAATATTAGAATACATTCAGAATAGCGATACAATAACATTAACAATAATATGAAGGAAAGCATAAACGAAAAGACCGGGAAAACAAGAATAAACTTCAGAGGAACACCCATCAGTATCCACAAAAACCTTAACAGGGCCCAAAGTAGCATGGCCATGCAATAAGAAGTAAGCAAATTGGATTTAACTCGCATCTGCATAGAAGACATGTTCTAGGAGTAGACATCCCACGACGCCAATATGGATATACGTCCCAGAATGTTAAGCACATGATCATGGCTTGTCCTCAGTTGGGAAAAGGAAGAGGAGAGTTGCTGCGATAGGCAAAAGATGGGTCTTTTAAAGCTATGATGAGCAACCCGGATGGTATGAAGAGAATTATAGAATGGATACTTTGCAACGGTTGGCTTGAACAGTTCCCACTGGAAGAAGAAGTTGAGATAGCAGCCTATAAAGGGATAATGCCTCCGGGAAAAGGCTAAGACGGAATCCACACTTTTTGAACAGTGTAAGCGCGCTATTCGAAGGTAAACCTAGAAATCCGATAGGCATAAGAGAGAAAGGTTTAGGGTTTTCTAGCGAATTGGGCTTCTCCTCTGTAAATATTATAACTAGATTTACCTGCATGGCCTCGTAGGATACCTGAACGGGCCAAATGAAATGAAATGAAATCAAAATAGTATATGATTACATTCATTCATCCATCTGTTCCAACTTATTTGGTGTCTCGTGAACAAATGTGGAGGAAATATTACGTAAGAGAAAGAGCATCGTTGCAACAGGTTAAGTCTGGGTTTTTGAGAATTTCTCCTGAACGGGTTTTCATGGATGAGGGTTGATGCGGTGTGTAGAAAAAGGCACCACGTTTTCGCAGAGGTACTTGCAAATGAAATCTGACGCAAGAGTATTCTTCTTGTATGTTGAGTCATCTTTTCTGTACTTTTTCTCCAATATCGTGTCGTAGCTAGTTAGCTGCAAACGCAATTCATATCTGAAGCAGAGGAAAAACACCACTCATCTTTGATATGCATCGCAATCCTGAGTATCAAGACAAGGTACCAGTACAAGGTATGTTTGTACGGATCGATATAAAGTAAGATATACAAACAGATATATCAATGATATTTCAAGGAAATAAATAGGATATGAGCACTCTACGAGGTGTGGCCTGGGTCAGAGAGGAGCCCAATATGCTAGATAGTCAGAGACTCGAGTAACACAATAAGCCCACCCACACACAGTTTTTTGAAATTCGAATTTTCGAATCCTCCGTTTTCCCCCCTCTCCTTCCCTCTCGCGCTCGTAGCACACTATCAATACGTTGTGATCGAGTCGCTGGCATTTTTATCATGCCACCTGTGCGAAACAGCTCCCTAATGCAATGTTGGACAACTCGAGAGTCCACCCGAGGGCTCTCGCAAAAATACCTGGCCTTGCCCAGTCTTCGAAATGCACGGAGATGGGTCAGGCCGTTTCGAATGGGAAGGAAAAAGCTCTTTCCACCGTCAACAAGCCCGATACTGACATGATCGGGTCAGTTGAACTATTGAGGAAATTCTTCAACCATCCTCCGTCCACGTCAAAACCGTCGGAGAACGCTGCATCCAAACCAGTGTCAACATCAACGTCGCAGCCAAAAGCTGCCACGAAAGCAGAGTGTCCCCTCGAGCTCCGACCAATAGTCGAAGCTGAACAACGACGCGCCGCCTAAATAACGGCAAATCTGGCCCTCTGCTCCGCCGCCATCTCTGGCGTCGAAGCCGCCCTTCTCCCTTTGACCAACGGGCCAAATAGACAATTCGTACACTCGATGAGAGTCTACCTACGCGCCGCCATTGCGCAATACATGGCTACGGGTCCGTCCACAACGCTACCAGCTCTCCCTCCTCGCCCAGCGAACCCAATACCAAGGGCTCCCGACGCCAGGAGTACTACAACAACTCCTGCCGCCCTAGTTCAGCCTGTCAAAAGCACCTGGGCCACGGTGGCTAGAAATGGACTGCGACAAAAAGCAGTCCTTTCAGTAAAGGCTGTGCCGCAGCCTGCGGCCAAAGCCTCAAAGACGAGAGTCGACAGACGACCTTTCATCCGCATTGGTAGCGACCAACCTGGAGGAAATTGTCTCCCTAGTGTGCACGAGCTACAATCCAGGTGCAAACCGGTTGCAGTCTATTTACGGCTGACTCTATACACCGAGTCAGGACCGGTTTCTCAATGGCGACAACCGATGAAGAATTAAGACAGAAAATCCTGGATGTCTCTCCGACCCTGGAGAGCTTAAACGTCAAAGTTGAAGAGACATCGGACCTAATCTCCTTACGGATACTAAATGTGCCCGTAAATATCACACAAAAATGCGGCCCCGTAACGGTCACAGAATCGGAGGTCACAGGCGAGATCCTCCGACAAACTGGATTTCTGCCATCCGATGTACGACCACATGGAACTTACCGTCCTAGTGCACCATAACGCAACTGGGTTGCTTTTTTCCCTCGGAACTCCACTCCTCGTGTGGGCTTCCGCCTCTTTGAAGAGTCTGGTTTGGCTATCAAGCTACAGCCTCGGCAAAGAATCAAGTATTGTGATGTAACTGTCACAGTTGGTATGAGTGCACCCATGTCCGAAGTACAAGTGCTAGTATGCGATACAGTGATTAAATAGTCCCAGCACGACTTATTGCGATCAGCGCTAAGAGCTGAGTGTTACTAGTACAACGTAGTGCAGAATATGTTACTCCGGTTACGTGACAATGGGCTTTATTATGGGTGTAGATTATGTACATATACATCAGACCTATCTACAGGACCTAGAGTATCTTAGAATAATCATCTTTCAACTTGTCTCACATTCTCCGTGTCCGATTATCTCTTTCTGCTCATTCGCTGATATCCCTAGCCTATCCACCATTCTATATCTGCTCATAACCTAGTCATAACATCAAGCAGTGCTATCGCTGCCTCGGCTTCCACGCCACTCGTGGCTGCTCCCGCGCTCCGGCTCGTCTGAATTGCGGCTCAAAAATTCACTCTGAAGAAGAGTTCAAGGCCTCCACCAGATGTCGAAATTGTGGAGGAGCTCAGCGATCCAAATCACAGGACTTCCAAGCTAGATCTAACAAATCCGGCCCGGTGAAGAAAGAGCAGCTTGTGGTTATTCGACAAGTCGAGCAAGGGAGGTTTATAGAAGCATCCCGAGCAAGAGCTGCAGCCAAAATGGCAGAGGAGGCGATTATCTCCTCATACATGGACGTCTCCATGGCGGAGGTATCGGGCTTCGGAGTTCTGGAGTCCGAAAAAGAAGTCTGAGGAGACGGCGACCTCGATATCACCCTATAGGCGATTACTAACTAATAGTTGAACAGTAGCTGTATCAATGGTATCTGCTAACCCATCTCTTGCTCTCAGCAGAGATCGGAAAAATTGTCATCTATAAGATGTGACGGGCGAAAGAATATGTGAGGAGCGCATTGTTTGTGCTCTATGTGGAGGAATCTTCTGACTTTAGGGATGTTTTATGCTATTTTTTTTAATTTTTTGGGTTTCGGTTTTGCCATAATCTGCTGCGATTTTGGTAGCGATTCACACGGTTGGAATGAGTGGGCAGTAGAAAAGAACACAGGGATCTCTGCTGGCTCCACCGGTCCTGCATCCCATAGATGAACGTAGAGCTTTAGCTGAGGATGTTAGAAAACAACAACAACAAAGAGGCTGGCTGCTCTTACTACGAAACTCGGTGAAAAATAACAGATGAATCATTATTCAGCTTACTCGGTCCAATGACCCATTGAAGACTCCCATACTTGTCAGTATCCATTTCACAAGGCGACATTTCCCTATCCATGGGCTACAGCCTATCGTAGTATCTGCCTCATGATCCGCGATTTATGTTCGGGCGCTGGACAGCGGATAGACTCGTTTTACACTAGCCACTACCTCTGAGTGCGCCGGCTCAGCACCTACAAAGATGCTATTAGAATAGAGTAATAATGTGGTTGGGAGAGATTTGGCTGGTAAGATAAGTAAGCAACGGTTCGGAGACACTGGTTTGTCATAGGAAAACAAATGTATCTGCACAGCGGCTATTATTCGCTCTATCGAGGGCTTCAATGCACATGAGGGAGAATACTCCTGTTTATGCACACGGCTCATCTACCTGCTCGCTACTCGAGCCTTCTACGTCCTTCTCCATCTTGCCGTACGAGTGAACTATAACCTTGTCCGCTGCAGCTGCAGCTATAGATGATCATAGGAATTCAGATGATGGTCGAGATCATAGAACCCCGAGAGCTCAACAACCACATTGCATTCCTCCAGATTTACATTCATAAGAATAATTACCCACCCAGCAATACTCTTGCTGTCTCAGTTGTGTGTTTAGGATCTTTGCTAGGCTTCTAGTAACTAGTTGATAATGTTTCCTCTATAATTAAGACTCAGTCATGATTTCTTGAACAGTATCAACCAGTAAATGTATCATGCATCTATATGACACTTCCACTTACAAATGTCTAATATATCATTACACTAGCCACATCTTTTATAGGTCTGTGTATCAACTACTGCAGCTCACATGATTGGTTGATAGAGTACAAGTTATGACAGATGCACTTGCTTTATATTAGTCTAGCCACATTAGAGCTTTACTGAGAGATGAGCTCTTGTATTCTGGTATTTGGGAGTTGGAGTGTCGCAAGCCTTCCAATAATGACAATAATATTAAACGTTTGGCCAGGGTTGGAGAAATTTACACTTTTTCCTCTCGAAGCTAGAAACTTGTACTTTTTTTTCTAATTCAAAGTCATGTACATTCTGTAAAATTCTATGACTATAAGAGAATATTTCTACACACTTGGAAAAGAAATGGAAAAGAATCATTTAATCAGACAAAATTTATAAGACCACAAAACTGTGACAGCTTAATTATTTTGGTTCAACCGCAACTATGCTTGCCATGTTAAGCTGTAAATTTATCGACGAATTATCTTCACAGATCTTCCTCTATTTAACCTAAAAAACGGTCATTTTTGTTGATTTTGGCGCTCAATTTACCTTTGAGCTGTGTGGAGTTGGTATAAATTTACTCTAGTTATTTTAGAAGCTAAAAATTTAGCTGCTGGTGTCGGCACTGGCCTTAGAGCTAGACTTCGAATTTGATTTTGAAGCAGTTCCAGAATCTTCGGCGGAAGTGGTATCATCGGCTTCGCCAGTATTTTCTTGACTAGATTTGGAGCCAGGTTTTGGGGTAGTTTTCGAACTAGCTTTGGAAGAGGCTCCAGAGTCCTGAGTGGCGGTAGTATCTTCAGCATCATCTTTGCTTTCTTGACCTGATTTCGAGCCAGATTTTGTAGTAGATCCTTGTTCCTCAGTAGAAGCATTGTCGGGATCCTCATCTAATCCAGCCCCTTTTTTCTTTTTGCTGACTGGTGATTCAAGCCCTCCAGCTTCAGTCCCAGGCTCTGCTTCTGAACCAAGATCACCAGCGGCGCCAGACCCATCTGCACCGCCTCCACCAATATCCCCAGCGCCTCCAGCTACGCCTTCCCCACCCAATCCATCACCCATACCACCACCCATACCACCACCCATACCACCACCCATACCTCCACCCAGACCTCCACTCATATCACCGCCCATACCGCCGCCCATACCACCTCCCATGGAGTCTCCAAAGCCACCACCCATTCCCATTCCATCGTTCATTCCCATTCCACCACCACCACCAAAGCCGCCAGTGGCTAGCGGTATGGTTAACATGGGAAGAGTAGAAGCCAATGTTTGAGCAACCAACTGCGAGTTACCGCCGCCGTTATTCCCTTGAAATCCGCCTTGATTTGGGAAATCATCGTCAAACCCGCCTGAGTTTTGGCCCCTATTGCGACCATTGTTAGGACCTGTAGGAATATCATCATCGTCATCAAGATTGTTGGCACCACGCTGGGGGTTAGTGTTAACTGATTCGTTGTCGTCTTTCTTGCCGGTGGCGGAATTTGGGTCGACATCTTTGGTGCCAGGAACAGGAGCAGTACTACCAGGGGCAGTACTACCAGGAGTACTGCCACCAGGAGCAACACCATTACCAGTTAGAGCATTACCTGTTAGTGCGCCACCAGCTAGAGCTGCACCACCAGCAGCTGCACCACCAACAATAGCACCACCAGCGACGCCCTTGCCGACGGTATCTTTATCGGTAGGATTCTTTCCATTTTTAGAGATTGCAGGGTCAATAGGATCAGCGTCGACATCTTTCTTGCCAGGAGCTGGTATAGCTCCACCAACAACGGCACTTTTCACTCCATTTTTACTTGCTAGAGATTTTTCTATGGTTTTATCTCCCTTATCTGGTGACTTTGTGTCAGTTGATATGTTATCATTATCTTTAGCGCCAGCCACAGGAGCAGCGACATTTTTCTTCTTAGCGACAGCGGGGATCCCATCCTTGATAGGTAAATCTTTTTCTTGGGGTATGGTTTTTAAGCTGCGGTCTGTGTCCTGTGTATCCAATTGTTTTTGTTTTCGAGTTGTTTTAGCTTTTGAAGTGGGTGTAATTTTTTTCGTGCTCTTAGCCCTGGAAAATTTTCGTAACGTGCCTTGTCTTTGATTTCTTAATTTTGAATTCTTCGCATTCAAATTATTTACTCTTTGTCCTCTTTGGCCGCCTCGATTTGGTAATCCGGCTCTAGCTTGTCTACCTGGTAAGCGTCTGCGAATGCCTGATTTCGTTTCTCTTTTCAACAGTTTTGAAGATTTCTTCTTGGGTTTTCTTCGAGATTTAGGAATAAGACCCGGGTCGGCGCGCTTTTCTGTTTTGGTCTTTGGACTGTTGTATGTGGCCTGTTTAGTCACTTTAGTCACATGATAAGTTGTTTTTTTGGCGAAAACATACTTCCTTTGACTCGTCTACAACATCGTAGTTGTCGATGATACTTTGAATCGCGCTGAAGCTCTTTCGTTTATTGCTAGAGGCAATCTCTGTAGGATTACCTAAGAGGCCCTCCCCTTTTTCCCTAGACACATCAAGTGAGGATAAATTGTTAACGGTCCCATCGACAGTAGGTAAATTTTTCAAGTGACCATTTTTAGTGATCCAAAGCTGTTTTAAGCTGTAATCAGATTCTTTAGAAAGCAAAACTTCAATGTGAGATTCGACGTCGCTAGGTTGGCTAGCAGGAATAGGATAAGTCGAGAGTTCAGATTTGGTATATACTAATAATTACTTAAAAGCAGGTACAACCAAAATTTCGAGGTTACTTACCAAATCTAAGAACAATTAGCTTTAAATATTCCGGGTCAAGTGCGGTCTCTTACCGAGATTCAACGAAGCCTAGACATATATAGACATGGATTGCTTTGAGGTGCATGGCAGTGTAATGGTAGAAGGAAACGACGAAAACCTTTGCACCTTAGGTTGGGTAAATATGACCCAGAATAGTAACTAAAAGAGCGTAAAAAGACACGAGACTCATATCCTCAAAAGAGATGTTCAATGGACGTAGGATGTTGGGGGTGAGTAGATAGATATACGAGAAGTTTGCAGGGAGACGGGTTAGGATCTGGGATAAAGTGATGAGAAACAGTTTCAAGTAGAATTGTCTTCATCTATGTGCATGAATTTCTGTTTGTCTGAGTGAGTAATGGTTAGATCCGAGACGTTGGCAATGAGTCACGCATGATTTGAGGGGACGAAGGAATTAATATTGGTTGTAGTGTAGACTGAGAGAAACTGGTCATTAATCTTGACACGACGGGCTAAATACTCATGCGACATTGGATAATTGCGACGACATGGCATAGTTGTGTATAACGATTCCACACTGAAGAAACCTTTTTTTAGAGGGACTTTTGCTGTAGATTGTATTTCGATCGTAGCCAGCCTCGAATTACTGGACAGGTGCATCATTCCTTAATGAGTCTAACCCGGCGTTGTTAATTATGTTTATGGAGATAATCTGCATGTAGCATCTCAAAATACTTTGATCAGACAGGAACATGATATTTTACTTTCGTGCTCATAAACGAGGTAAAACATCCTCGCGCACAGGATGACGGATGCATACTAGGATAGTCATGGTAATGAAGTTGATTGTAAATGCAAAGATTTTTAAAAACTCAGTTGAAATAAGAGGCTTGGTCCACTTGATTTCTGAACTCTTGATTAAACGGAAACGACATACAGGTCCCTCGCGATCACTGAATTGCAGGAAATTTACCAACGCTCGTGACACGCCTAGGAGAGGATGAATGAAAGTTTATTCGTGACGGGCACAAGCCCTGCACTCAATGAGCATGACACGGAGAAGACGAGACCTTCATCGACGACTATATACGACGATAACTCAGTTTGGTATTTGGACTAATCATGTAGTGGGTGTATTCGCTGATACTACTCAAGACCTTGCTGCTAGGGATTCTCAACCTTTCCTCAACCGTTGATATCCACCAAAGGGAAAACAGGAAAAACCTTTGGCTACCTCAACATGCCTTTGCCATCATGTATATAGCCACCGCACGAGATATGGCCTCATAGTCCTCCCTTTCTCGAGTGAGGTAGGTGTCCAGGCTACCCAGACCTTAATTTGGGGAGATGACGACTAAGAGGCGGACTGAAACACCTTCCATCGTTGCCAGTTTTTAGAGTGTCGGTAGCACTGTCCGAAATCTTTGCCTCGGCGCCCACAGACAATCTGAAGTCGAAGACACTCGAAAAATGTGCCTGCCAGCATGACCATTTGTGATATCTTCAATCGTCCGTCCCACGTTCCAACTGCCTATCCTCTCTCAAGATGTGAAACCCCATTGGAGCTACGTCCCCTATACACCAAGATCCGAGCTATGTAGATTATGACTTAATTTCCTCCTCGAGGGTATACGTAGCATCGTAAATGTGTAGTGGAAGATAGCCGGTTTTTGATGAGGTAAATGCCCGATTGCAATTGGAGTAACGCCATTATCGGTATTTGAGGCGAGGTGCTGTGGTGAGATTGAGGTGGAGGTCTCGCGTGAGAATGATAGATCCGACATTGACTAGAAGTCGTCGACTTTAGATATGCTTGAGGTTGCTTTCGACTTCGATTTGGATGCGATTCTTCTTGGCTATCCCAGATATGCGGAGCATACTGAGCGATTACACCGGCACCACTGGAAGGTGAAGAATTCATCTTTGCCGGCTTGCCGAGGAGAGAGATGTTTGTGATCTATTCGAGGTCCAAGTAGCTTGGAATATATTACATTAGATTACCGTCATAAATACAAAATCATCGGTATTTTTGGGCTGAATCAGAGTGACTACACCCATGTGTAAAGCTATGTCTCAGCACTATCACAATATAATGGCTGGAATCGGGACGCCCTACCCCTAGTCTTAATCTACATTCATAATGGATAGACTCATCGGATCCAAAACTGTTAATCGTCAATACCCAGCCAAAGGAAGCAGTATTTCGGATTTATGTAGCGCTCGTGAGCTAAGTCACAGCTCACGACTCAGCTGATAGCTTCAGGCTGTGTTAAAGCGACAAGCTTGACCAGCGTATGCGACAATTGTCTCTATGTTGCGGACATGACGCATCTTTCACTGTTTGCAAGCAAGTTCTCGTTTTAAGGCCGACTCCTGTTGCCTCGGCCTTTACAATTTCTTCAGCGTCAATAATCCTATTCAATGAGACGATCTAGTTGCAGTAAAAATAATTTTTCTCAAAAGGAGGCTGGACATCTATGTGAACTGCATACAGTGCATTCGAGGCAGAGATACTCCCATCCAACCAAGTTTCAGACGGAATTCGCATCACAAAAGACTGTGGCCCGCGACTTTCTAAGTCAATTTTTGACTTCTAATGGGATCATGCTCCGAATAAAGCTTCACCGAGTAAGACTTGATGCTTCAGAGTTAATGAGGATGGTGGTCATTGTAACTACATCTCCTACGTCAGTCGACCTCTATGTAGAATCCCATGATGCTGCAGATACTCGCAGTAAGGTTTATATCACGTCACAAAAACTTTATCAGGTAGAACTAGGCTGAGGATATGATTTATATTAGAAATGGTGTGCAAGATTAAGTCAAGATCCGACACGCTCTGGCTGGATGTGGGCGCTCTATTTTGTGAGGATACTTTTGACAGTGGAGTGTTTGCGAGCGCCAATTTAATGCAAAAATAAGAAGTTTATTTGCGTGCGCCACGACTTGGTCTACCAGTGTCACACGATACTGATATCAGTTATGGTTATTGAAATGATTGATCTAACGTATCAGGCAATAGCCCTACACCTAGGAAGCTTGACACTTTTGCAAGGTCCTAGAGGACTCAATGTCACTACTAATGCTGGCTTTACTTGGCCACAAATTTACATGATTGAAATCAAAAACACCATGGAAAATGCTTGCTACCCAGCATTCAATAGATATAGTTTGTTGACGCAGTGGCTCATCATCGAGGCTCTTCTTCCAAGTAGTGACTGAAAGCTTGGACACGCATCTCGCCTTCAACAAGAGATGGGTCGTTAAAATCCAGCAATAGTCGTTCGAATGTCTAGCCTTGTTCGCGTGTAGGATGATGAAGGCTTTTTCGCACATTAAAGGGGCTCGAGTATACTTTTGTTAGGTAAATATAAGCTAGAGTCGAGGGTTTTGTGGAAACAAATATATCTCGTTGTGGTATGTGCGAGTGACGTCTGGAGGATGGTGTTTTCGAAGCCAACGATATTATTTTATATGTTCATGGAAAGCTGGTCGTACTTCATACCTAAATAGCTGTATAAGTAATAGATGATTAGAAAAGTACATCTCTTCTAACAGACAGTGTCACTACAAACAGTAGAGCCTCGGCTGAGATGAGCAGATAGTCTGTTGAACGATAGTAACATGGATATTCCTTCATATTTTAACCCTATCCAAATTGGATGCCAAATACTAGATGCAAATTTGCATCATGGTCTATAATTTGAGACCTTAGTAGCTAGGCAGAAAGTAATATCTTTAGTATATACGTGCCTCATATTGCACTCAGTCTCAGGATACCTGAGTTGATACATTTTTAATAAGCCAAGCATAGGGCCTACGTCTAATTTGATTTGATACAGACAATAGATCACGAAAGACTTAATATTACTGATACGATCTACGAAATTACAGGTAAACAACATGGCTAGGTTTTGTGTTCTGAGCCTCGCCTGAACACCCCATGTCGTCTACCACTAGACCAGTTTCTACGGCTTCACATTGACTCGCAGCAGCCGTTATCGTATTGTTTGAAGTCAGTTTCTCACACTTACATCCACCAAAGCAAACTTGGCGCAGACTGTTTTAAAACGTCCATGGCACTCCTTGAAACCATGGTCTTGGCGCCCACAAACATTCCACAGTCGAAAACCCTCGAAAAGAGACAGCTCCAGCATGGCCACCCATGAAATCTTTCATTTCTCCTTCAACGCCCCACATAATTATCCTCTCTCAAGTCGCTGAGCTCCATTAGAGCAACAGTCCTCCACAAGCCAAGACCCGACATTGGTTTATGGCTTAATATCTTCCTTGCAGGTACACGTGGCTTCGTAATTTTGAAGTGAGACATGGCCGCTAATTAATGGGGTAAGCTCATGTTTACGATTGAAGTAACTCCTTGATCGGCCGTCGAGTTGAGATGGTATGTGATAAGGTCGAATTGGAAGACTCGTATTGTAATAGTAGGACCGAAAATTGATGAGAAATCGTCGAGTGCAGATATGCTTGTATTTCATCTCAACTCCAATTCAGAAGTAATACTTGCTGGCTATCCCAGATGTTCAGATCATACTGAGTATTTACATCGGCAACGATACAAGCTGTAGAATTTGTTGTTGCCGGCTTAGATGAACCTCTTTTTAAATAATAATTCAACGTGTATCCAGCCATCTAGCTATCTACCTATGACACAGTGTTGATGCTATGTATACATATTGGATGACTCTTTTGACATTAGAGACATTCATACTCTGGATTTCATTCGCAAATCTCACTATGAGGTATGTTCGCTTAAACAAATAGTCGACCCTCCTCCGTAAGTACCCACCAAAGGGAATTTCGAAACCTTTGATTATCCAAGCATGCCTTCGTCGTCCATGCATACCAGCGCCGCGAGAAAAGTGGTTATGTTTCGCCGAATTGGAACCAGCGATCTCCTATCTCAAGTGGGATATATGTCCAAGCTATCCAGACCTTACTCGAGGGACCGTCTCGGATGAAGTGCCACTGCACCACCCAGCCATGGCGGTGTTTATAGTGTCGTCTGCACTCTGGCAATCGAAGTTGTATGGCGCACAAAGCTTTAGTTGCCAGACTCCTTTCCAAGGTTCAACATCTCAATTGTTACGGAATAGAATACACGGTTGGAATCATCTTGACCATTAATCCAGGTCTCTCTCACGCCCATCCCAAAAATCTGCTGCCCAGATTTATGAACCTTAGTCTGTCTCCTCATACGGGTATTCATATACTCTTTTTTTTAAGTCATGTTGTATTCAGCTATCTAGCTATGAAAATTTAAAAATATGCTTAAATATTCATATACTCGTGGGCGTGTATGTGGAGGCCATTTGAGGCCACAGACTGATTTGATGGGAGGTTTCGATCAAATCTAGACATACCAGACCGAACTGCACGCAATACGGAGTAGACGAAGACTACTTATCGGTGAACCAGTCATGGGGATCCCAACATCAAATCAAGGAAACCCCAAATTAGATTGAAGAAGAAAAGTTGTAGTTAAATAGTCTGTCCTACATAATGAGAAACTCAAATAGGACATAATTGAATAAATAAAAAAGACTCCTATCTTCCATCGATACCAGCTTTGGTGGAGTCGCGGAGGTAGGAATGTTACTCCATCACGCATTCAGAACACAACGTTTCTGCCTAAGCGAGGTAGAACAGACAGAGTATGAGTGTCTCCAACGTCAAAAGAGTCATCCAATATAAATATACAAAGCACCGATCATGTGTTATGGCTAGATAACTGCATACAAATTAAATGATTTAAAAAAAGAAAGCAGAGTTGGCCCATGAGGCAATGATTCAAAATACTCCGCCATGTTAATCTTTCACTCACAATGAGATGGATTCCTATCTAAGCCTCATCAAGTCTACAGGTACGGCCTAGCACATCCTCATTCCCATAACCACACCTCTCATCGAATTTCTCGGGCCTTAGCTGCTAACCAAATACACGCAAAGACTTGACATGCGAGAGTGCGGCTGGCACTATAAACACAAGCCAAAGATGGATGGTGCCGTGGTCCGTCTCCTGTTGTTGTTATCCGGTATGGATTGAGTAGTTTGGGCTCCTACTCCTCTTGGGAAGGAGACACCGAAGACCAGATTTCGCGCGGAGCAAATTTAGTGGATGACGGAGGCATGTCTAGAGAACCCAAAGTTATCAAGACGTTCCTGTTACGGGATCTAGTGCACAAACTCCTGCCGTTCACTGTGTGAGGCCCTTGTATAATGCTGGCCTCAGGGTCCGCTTAGTCATGCCCCTGTAAAAATATCTTTCCTTTCCATAAGCTCATGTTCCTCATTGTAGTTATTCATGCGTTATCATTACTTTAGGAAATCAGAAGAAACTTCGTATATTTCGATCGATCGATTAGACCACGACCGCATTCCGTGACAGTTCCCCTGGGTTGGTATTCACGGATGAGAGTTGACTTTGGGTGAAGAGAAAGCCACCATAACTTCGCAGTGGTACTTGCAAATGAAATCCGAGGCATGAGTGCTCTTCCTTTACGTTGAATCATCTATTCTGTACTTTTCTTTGATATTGTGTCATAGCTAGATAGCTGCATACGCAATTAAAATCTGATGCAACAAATTTTTTTACCGAGTACTCGATTATCGTTTTTTAACCTCTGAATATCGTCTTAACTAGGTTTTCTGATCAGATTTGTGCTTGTAATGCCGCCAGAAATGGGAATTTCTGTAGGGCAACGACGTGCTCTGCAACGATGGACGCGCCGCCAGGTTCCAAAACCATCATAAAAACAGTGCATTGAGTGGTTCTTCGCTGAGTACAGCCAACGATTAAGCCAGTTCACAGTCTCCGAATCTTTGGGAATACTTTTGCGAAACTCAACGAAGCTATAAGTGTTACTGCGCTACGACTGCGAGCTGGAAACTGGCCTGAACTTGAGAGTGTTAGAGCGATTAAAGACGGCAATTGGGAATATAAAGAGGCATCAAAGGTAAAAAGTAGCCTAGATAGCTGGATTAGATAATCATATCCTTTACAGCGATATCCTCTATATAACGATATTTTTCACGGCCCCGATTACATTGTCTTAACACGGGTCTTACGATACATGCTCGGGGGACTATTCTCAACACCTGTCAGCGGTGTCCCCTACAAACCTCCAGCTCTCACTGTAGAGTCTGCAGAGCCGAGATTGAGTAACAAAGTCCTCACTTCGAAGAGGATTCCCAATCGCTTTCGCGGTATGTATCGTCTTCATCTCTCAACACATTCCCCTATCACCATTATCATGAAGCTAACCACGATCAGATCAGATGGTAGGGTCGGAGCTCTACTCATCACCAAACCTTGATCACGGAGAAGAAGCCATCCGATGAGTTTTCGGAGCGTACCCAGCACCCGATATGGAGATGGCGGATTAGATCAAGTCGACCTCGACTGTTAAAAAGAAGGGAGATATAGATGAATATGCGCACCTCATGTGGTCCCAGTGTCTAGGCCTCGCCTGGCTGGGGCTGCAGGTTTTTTAAGGCTTTTTCCCGCACACGCGGTTTCACTGCTACCATTTTTATTTTTTTGGGTAGAAGGTTCTGTAGAAAAGGTGGCTGAATTCCACGGGTAAATTCTGAGCTGAATGGCTATTCATCAAGGGGAATATATCAATGATCTTTCAAGTAACAAAGGAGGATGGGAGCACTGTACAAGGTGTGGCCTGGGTCAGAAAAGTGCCCAATGTGCTATATATTCATAGACTCAAGTTGCACAATAAAATACACACACGTACGGTACATGCTCGCTTAAGTGATACACTAGTGATATTGTCCTGTGGCCTATACCACACGCGATGCCCTAATGTCGATTACTCTGTTATCGCACATCATACCAGGTAGTCTGTCTTCCCAAGGAAGAAGTTATTAATTCCTATTGATTTATCGACATTAATGTACTTTTGATTTAAACTCTTTACAGGCAGATAATCTTGAGTCTAATTCATCTTGGTTCGAGTGGACTAGGCTGCGTGCTAGCCCGTGAAATTCAAGACAGAGAAACGTTGCTGGCTTATGTGCCTAGTATAATAAAAATGTTGTGGTTTTTTGGCTCTTAAAACGCGATACCATTAGCGGCCTAGGTCCGTCCGTGAATCACATCTTGGCGGCAATAAGTTTTTTCTCCAACTCTTATGCGGTAGAAAAAGTGAGTAGACTGATAAGATAATGATCGGATTGGATTAGAGCCCCTAGTACTTGAACGAAAGAAGGCTATAGGCCATGCGTTGGGCTCTAAAATTTAAATAACTTTAAATTTTAGTTTCATTCAGTATTTTGCAATGGATACTGAGCGTCATATTCTGAAGTTCTTAACGGGCTGATTTTTGACTAGAATATCTGGCAACGCTCTTTTAAGAAGACGGCAAGTTAATTAAAACTAATCACATCCTTATAACCTATTATTTCTCGACCCTCTAAGAACGATTCACTCTCGATTTCAATGGTACATCACTGAGAGGAGCGCTACCTTTGTCTCTTACCATTCATTTTTTAGATGGTCGGCCTAGTGTGATGTGGTTCTTCGACTATCATTCATATGTAGCTAAATTTTCCACAAGTCTATGTTCAAACAAAGAACTTGGCAACGACTCGTATTTCTCATCCCATGGCAGACATGGGTAATACTTTAATTCCTTGCGGTAATCTTCTATCTCCAGTACTACACCACCCATAATGCCTTCTGAATTCAGCACCATAAAATCCGTTCTGAATAGACCTAATCTCACAACTTTGATGAGCGCATGGTTGCAGTAAATCAAGATGGCGAGGATACGGACCAGTTTCATAAACTTCGCTATCAAATAATAGTGGATAGATGTAATACGGCCCTCCAATTGTATACTCATAAATGTCGAATGGATGAGGGAAAAACTTGTTCTCTGAAATTCCGGTAGTCTTCATCCTAAAAATCTTCTTTAGGTAGCGGAAACTATAATGGCGGTTTTAATTGCAGGTTATTCCATGGAATAATGATGGAACAGTCGGAAGAAGATCTTTTTTTTGATCAAGAGCAGTAAATCTCCGTACGGAAATAGTAACAGTCGATAGCATGGCTAACATGATAAATTTAAAAAGCCATCTCTCATAGCAAATCATTCTCATAATCTCTACAGGGCCCGAAAGTCAAGTTTTTTTGAATTTAGACTTTAGAACGGAGCAATTTTGCAAAGAACCTTTGTTGAGCTTGTACTTTTGCAGAGGCGAGTACAAAGTAAGTACTATTATCGAATAAAATTGGAGTATAGTTCTGATGTCGAGAAACTGCAAAAAGAGTGAGACATTATGGTAAAATGAGCATGACTTAGCCACATTTATTTGAGTCGCTGTCTGTCTGGGGCGCTTAATCGCCAAGCGATACTTATCTCCCTGGACCAGAGTCATGGTAATTGCAAGAGAAGGTGAAATGGAACAAAATGAGCGCTATAACTTGAGTTGAATTGAATATTCTCATCTAAGATTCAAAGTCTCTCCAATTTTGGAATACTAAGCGTTCTTTTTCGTTGATGTTAACTGCCGTGAAGGAGTCGAGCCTAGCATCTGAAAGTCCCAACAGACGTGGGGTTGTCGAGTCACTCATGTATTTCAGATGCCCTCCCGGCTAGTAGATTCGGAAGTTAAGATTAGTAGGGACGATATTACAGACGAGTCGAAATCTGCTTTTCTTGAGGGCGGAAGGGTCTTTTACATTGCTTTCGCGGGCTTTTTGTTCGCCCGCCAGTGGCTAGCACACATTGTGATATGACGAGGGCTTCTCTGACTGCCGTTGTAGCGTTTGATACCGCAAAATATTCCCTTATTGCTGGCATCATTATTGTCGTCTCTGTTGTCTTTTGCGTCGTCTAAAATATATTCTTGGGGATGGGAAACATCTCAGCCCTAAATTGAAAAGGTGTTACTCAATGTCGGCCCTGCAACCTACATTTTGAGATCTAGGATTAAGTAGGGGACACCGCTGACGAGTGTTGGGTTTTCGTTACCCACTGAAGTTTATGTATATGATCTCCATTCGGCAATTTCCAACATAGATGCTGGTTACAATTTCATGACGGTTGAGACATGGTTTCCTTGAAATAAAGCTCAGCTTACCTTGTTATTATTATTAATTCATTTTATTGTCCTGTCTGAGTCTATGACTATGTAGGACATGCAGGTCCTCTCTGCCTACAGGCCAAGGATACCTATACCAGTAGTATATCCCCTCCTATGCCTCCCATACAGCTCCCCTCAAACAGTACCACCCCTCACAAGTCCTCATTCGATCATACACTAAGAGGAGCCCTTTGCCCTTCATTATCTCCCCTCTCCAGCCAACGAAACGATGGCCATTTGCGGGTGTATGGCAGCCGGGAAAATTCGCAAAAACCACTGGGTGCGGGGCTCTTCTAATACCGACATTAGGAATAAATCCGAAGACATATTGCCCCTTCTGAAGCGTTCGAAGAGGCCGGCAAGCTGGGCGCTGCAGACTTGTGTGTACCTCGGGAAATTCACCCTCTGCCTTTCTAGCCTCCTTCCAACTCCTTCCCGAAGGTCGTGCTGAAATGTCAGAAAAGTCTTGACAGAGCGTGATTGCTGTATAGTAGCTTAGCCTAACTTCTTTTGTACCGTCCAGGGCGCTGGGGAGTGCCGTTGACTCATCGACAAAAGAAGCCCTCCTGGCTAATTAGCCGAAATCTTAGTCTTGGCGCCCACAAAAAATCCAAAGTTGGAAACTCCTCGAAAATGTCAGTCCCAACACAGTCTTCAGAGTCTTCTTTCTCCTCTCGCTCCACATCTCAGCTGCCTGTTCTTCCTCAAGATGTATAACCCCATTAGAGCAGCAGTCCCCCATAAACCAAGACCCCAACTTTGTATTTTTCGACTTGATTTCCTCCTTGCGGGTATAAATAGCGTCGTAAATATGTAGAGAGTGATGGCCGGTAATGAATGAGGCAAGCTCCTGTTTGCAGTTAGGGTGACGCCTCTATCGGTCGGCGAGGCGAGTTGATATGTGCTTAGATCGGGGTTGAGGACTCAGAAGATAATGATGAGTGCTGCATGGTTGAGAAGTCGTCAAATGGAGATATACATGTGTTTGCTTTCGACTTCGATTCGGATGCGATTCTTCTTGGCTATCCCAGATATGCAGAGCATACTGAGCGATTACACCGGCACCACTGGAAGGTGAAGAATTCGTCTTTGCCGGCAGCTTACCTTGTTATTCGTAAGATAGAACAAAATTACTTTCATACTTCACCATCTATATAGTCAGATTATTACCAAACATTCATCAAACTTAAATATCCGACATTTTCAATCTATTCCCCAACAATTACACTCATCATCGATTCAACCTTCTTCCCTAGCTAGCATCTAATTATACGTCCGCGACGCCATGGAAATCTGCCGAAGGGTGTAATTAGTGGCACATGAATCCGGCCATACTAGTGTATTCAAGACGCGTTAAATATCAAGGTGAATAAGCGTATCAAAGCGAAACTTATGTTTAGAGTGTCATCAACACTGAAATTGTTAATCCTAATCTGCGCAAGGAAGCAAGAACTAAATAAACCAGGATTAGTAATTGTCTACAGTCTCTTATGGGTTGAAATTGTACAATTGTCAAAATGACTGGAGTTCCATCCCTGTACATATTGATTTGATTGGTTTAGTCTTCATGCAGGTCCATGTTTAGTTTGTCGACTAGTTGAGCAAGCAGGGATACTATCCAATGATATTCCGTGAAAGTCGAAATTAATGGTGACTGTTTTCAACTCGAACGCAATTGTAAAATGGTCCTCATTTAAAATGAAAACTTGAAAAAGTCAATATTATCCGACGAAAATTCAAATCCAACACTTTGATCGATGGACAACCTCCTTTACAATAGCGCAAATCACAGCATAGATCCCACATCATATTATCCACAACACTTCTTACAAGAACTTCCATCTGGTGCAATGGCCCCAGCCGTTGCATCGTCATCGACAACGCCCCCGAATCCAGGGGGGCAACTCCACCCAAGCCTGCTAGGCATTGTTAATGCAATGCAAAAAGCAGAACAAGAAAGAAAAGAAAGATTGGGCATAGCCCAGGAACTTCTTGAACTAATCGACTCCTGGGCCAAGAGCAAAGGAGAGAAGCAAGCAGCAGCAGTCGTCGCGACTCTGATGAACAAGATCACGCCTGTCATCACTGCCTTTGCAGTAGATCAGGCAGAAGTAATCAATAGTCCAAGTAAGAACTCCCCCGCCATGGCAAGCACTCCCAAACCAGTCGCGCCTAGGAACCACATTGTTGTTGAGAACAACAGCCACGGCCTACCTCCAAAGCCGCAAGAAAAAAGCTCGCCTTGGGTTACAGTTGCTCGCAAAGCAGCCAAGTTACCAACACCGCCCAGTGCGCAAGTTCCGAGAAGACCGGCTCCGATAAGCCGCCCTAAGGCACAGACAACACCCAAGGAAGACAAACGCCTGTTCCTTCGTTTGGGTAGAGATCACCACTGGCACAAATTATCACCAGTCACAATCAAAAAGATAATAACCGACAAGGCTGGGATAGCAGCCTCAGCTATCACCTCGATGTACCCAGTCAGGTCGGGGATCGCTCTCGAATGTGCGTCAGACGCATTGAGAGACACAATCATCAGAAGTGCACCTTCCCTACAGGAAGACAACACAGTGATTGAGGCAGCCTCAAAATGGACATCTCTGATGGTACCACATGTGCCATTGTATATCAGGACACTTGAAGGCAGCATTCCAGTCACCATTGAAATGGTGAAGAACGAGTGCCAGGCAGTATGTGGCGCCACACCAATCCAGGTACGGCCCACAGAAACAAAGCTTGGTCAGTACTCAACGAGCTGGATCATTCATTTCCAACAAAAACCAGCAAACACAAAGTTCCGTCTTTTTGACGAGAGCGGACCGGCAATTCCCTTCTCGCGCCGACGACCAATCGAGCAATGCCAACGTTGCTGGGGATTCCACACTACGCGTTCCTGTACCCGGAGCCAACGATGTGGACGATGTGGGGGAACCCATGAGACATCAGATTGCCAGGCCAAGGTGCCAAAGTGCTCAAATTGTGCCGGACCTCACCACTCACATGAGAGTAGCTGCATGGCCCGACCAAGAAGACAAAACGGGATAATTCTGCCCCGTACCCCTGCAGAACTACACATCATCAGAGAACGCGGGCATCGTGATTATCACGCTGCTCTAGCGTATTCGGAAAGGAAGGGCAAGGCAGTTGAAACTGTCATTACCCCGGATTCAACAATGACGTGTTAATGTTAGGGAACCCCTCAACAAAAGCACCAAAAGATAAACATAACACTCTCCACTTTCACCAAGTGAATGTAGGAAGGGGTGGGGAGAATACAGATATAGCATTGCAGCAGGCATGGGATGCCGGTGCACATGTAGTCATGGTACAGGAACCATGGACAAGGAAGAAAGAGGGGGGTTTTATCACCAAAAGTCACCCTGGATACAATAGCCACATACCGTTTGGAGGAACAGACGTCCGGCCCCGCGTGAGTACTTTCACACGCAAAGGCATTGGTGCGACTCAATTTTTTCCGCCGTCATCAGGCCCGACATCTGACTACTGTTTTGTAAAGATGGGCAGCCTGACTTTCGTCAACGTGTATCGTGCCCCGGGCACCAGTGGAACCTTGGAGCCCTTACTTCGGTGGGTAGTCAGAGGACTCGTGGTTGTTGGTGGCGATTTCAATTCTGTGTCACAGCATTGGCAGCCGCAAACGACAATTCAGTACGGCAATGGAGGCCAGATCATGGAATGGGCAACAGCTCACGATATGGATCTAGTTAGCATTGTCGGAGAGCCAACGCATAGGGATGGGAACGTGCTGGACTTAACGTGGAGCAACACAGCTGCAACAGCATCAGTCTCCAAGCAGTATCACTGTACCTCAGATCACTCGACCATCGAGGGTACAGTCTTAAACCCTACAGTATCAGACCTATCTGGAATTGTAAGGAACACTCGTGTCAGCGATGAGAACCTAAAGGAATTCAACCGATGTGTCAGCCAATGGACCAAAGCTGCCCCTCTGGACAGTGTCATGGACATCGAAAAATTCACAGCTA